CCGAGCCCCATGAGGGGCCCGGCAGTGAACCTGCAAGGCCGGCGGGAGTGCAAGGAAGCCCCGCAAAGGCCCTCCCTGGCCCCAGGCAGGCAGGGGTGGGGAGAGGCAGGGAGGAAGCAACTTACCCTCCCTCTTCTCCTGCCTCCTCCTGGCTGAATGAGGGCCGGAAGCGGGGTGGCCGGAAGCAGGGGGCGGGGCTTCGTCATGTGCCCCGCCCCCGTACCTCACCTGGGGGAACTGCGATCCCCCGCGTTCCCTCCCGAAATGACCTCTGCTTACCTGTAACTGATGATCTTCGAGTGGTCATCTGTGCAGTACCACAATCTCACCCAGCCTTCCCCACTGCTAGCATCTCCTAGTCACTTACCTTTTTTGATGGGACATACCGGTAGCGGCCGAAGGAACTGAATGGGAGGTGGCTCTCTCCCCCGTTCCAGGCATGCGCAATGAGTGTCTGCTCCCCAGGGTGGGAAGAGAGCCCACCAAAAGTTTTCTGAGGCAAGCTCTGAAATATCCTCTGCTTGAGGTCGTGCGCAGGCACCCAACCCATGTGTGGTACTGCACAGATGGCCACTCGAAGATCATCAGTTACAGGTAAGCAACCTGTTTTTAATAATTAGCAAGACTCACAAAAGTTGACTTACCTGAGCTGCAGGAACCAGGCCAAGTGGAGAGAACTTTGCCAGCTTAGATAGATTTCAAACTTTGAAAAAGAGTTCCGGGGTGGGGGGGAACACCCCCCCCTTTTTTCTCCAAAATGGAAATAAATAGAATAAAAATTCCTCATCATAAGAAAAGGATGCATCCAATTCATATAAAAGCCTTTATGACCTGACAGCTGATGTTGAAGTTTGAACAGTAAAGGGGAAGCAAGGTCTCAGACAGATTTGAACATTGACCAAAGCAGACTGAACAAACAAATGCAGGCTTCTCCCCACTCCTCCTCCTGTTTTTCTGCAGTTTTCTTGTAATGCATTTAATACTGCTTATATGTAACCATCAAGCTATGCAATCCTTATGCTATCCCATATAAATTAATACTAGTATACATGATTGAATATTCCACACGTACGTTATGTATATGCAGTACTGTATCTATTACTGCCAGTAACCAGAAACTCCTGAAGGGATGGGTTTCGGGGAAACTATGAATGTGAAGAAGAGCAACTGTGACAGAAGGTTTAATTCTAAGATGGATGCTATCAGGCGATAGGTCACATCAACAATGCTGGGCCAAAGTAGAAGCGGGTTTAGGAATGGTTCCAGCATAAGACGACCTGACCCAGCAATGTTGGGGTGCTCTTGGCTAGGGGAAACCCAGACAGGTCATACATGTTTCATGACCATATGATAATTTTTGCCAGTGGTCTGTCATCAAGTTGGTGAAGATACAAGAGTAGCTATAAATACTTGATTAGATTAGAAGAGTGGGCAGATGAGCCGAATAAGGTAAAAAAATCGAGGGGTGTCCAACAGGAAGTCAGGGAGAGAAGATACAAGCCTCTCTCCCTCATTTCCTGTCTTTCAGCAATCCATCTGGAGGAAGACCCCTTGGGGGTAAGGCCTTTTCCTACCAAGTCATCTTTGGCCAACTTGGAATATGCTTCACTATCCTGTCCTGGAGGATTGGTGAGATTGTTTTCCCCCCTCATTTGCTGGCATTGCTCTATACTGCCTTATGCTGCTTAAATAAAAGCTACGACTTCATTCTAGGTTGGGTTAATTTAGGTTGAGCTAAGTTATATTCTCTCAGTATTTTTCTACGATGGGATATGTTCTGGAAATTCTTAATGTGATTAAAAGAGAAAATCCTTGTCAGAGTTTATATATTAATAAAATCCTATCGAACTGTATAACCTGGTGTCCAAGTTCTTTTTTTCCTGGAAGTATTACCCAGAGTAAGATTCAAAAGACCCCTCTTGCAACACAGGTTTAGCCTGGAAATAATGCAGGTTAACACCCCCTCAAGAGTATTTCTGGAAAACACACACACATAATTGAGTATGACAATAAAAGTTGCTTTTATTATAAAAATCTATACAGTGAAATACCAGACATAGCAATCATTTATATCTGGTTTATTTATATATATATTATATATATATATATATATATCCACATATATAGTTTTTACTTATATCAAAGTAAAACTATGTTATATCACAAAATGCCTAAACCTACCATTTATTGCTCAATAAGAATGGTACAACACACACTCTTAGCATAACTGTTGCCATGCTACCTATGATACTGAACAGCCAAACACTGCATAACACACACAAAAGCAGCTGTTAATAATTCTGAATTTGAACCAGGTGGATCACTCACTTTATAAAAATATTGGAATCATATAGATTTAAGCATTATAAAGGAGGAATATATTATTTAAAACATTTAAATAGTGCATATTGACATTTTGCATGTGGTATATAAAACATTCATGTACAACACTATACAGTACACATAAGTTTCAATGTTTTGATGCACCTGTGTCTGCAGACAGAAAAGTAACTGAAGTGTACAGTGCACAATGGAGCTGAATAAAAGCCACAAATGATCTCCAGATTAAATTTCCAACCTCGCAATTCACTATGGTCCACTAACAAAAAAATCTCTAATTCTGTAAAAAGGCAAAGCATCAAAATATAAGCTCATTTTACTGCTCTCGTTCATGTTCCAAAATTACATGCCTACAATCACACACACACAAAGCCTTTCTGTAGCAAACAGACAAGTCTGGAGTATCAAAACCCTACTTTTAAAAAAATCTATCCCATGTCAACACATTGACCTGATGAATTTACATGCCAGCCACTTCTTTGCAAAAAATCATTTTTTTGGTCTTTCAGGAAGCAGTGAGAAAAAATGTTTGTGCTGACATCAGCTGATCATAAATACATGCAGAAAATAGGCACATGCAAAAACATGGCCACAATCAACACACACAAAAAAATTCCCCAAGAGCACCGATTTAAACACTTAGGGCTCAATCAAGTCCTATCAGAGACACAGTACCCAAAGTCATAATACAGATGAGATTCCCCCAAGCAGCATTTGCACATGGTATTGATCTGCTTGTGAGGGCCTGAAACAGAGCCTGTACAGACACTGTGGGAGCTCTGTTATTCCCTACCTGGAATCCCTCTGTGTGCAGGTGCTGTGCCCATATCAGCACTGTAATGAGCTCTTAGGATTTTGTCATATTTGAAAAGAAAAATATTAAGGGGTGTTGTGTCATCTATATTAGACTGGGTAAATGTTACCAAAAATGTTTCAGTTCTGAAGCTGTATCATGCAAGAATCATATGATACCTGCTTAATACCAAAGGTTAAATCACTTTACTTTCCATTTTTGACATAGCAGAAGGCTTCTTTCAAAGCTTACTCTATCCATTTTAAGTCCATCACATTAATTATACTGATTTTTAGCCCTTGATAAAATACACTTATTTCAGATACAGCAGTTAAATAACACAGGCCTGTCGAAGCTGTACAGCACCATCACATTCTCCCCATCAAGGATACGAGGCAGGATCCAATTCAGACCACACACTAGGTCACCATTAGCTGATGAACTGATAAATTAACAGTAATGCAAGTCTCGTAGGCAATATGTGATATAAATGTTCAGTTTTCCAAGTTTTAAAAATACAACACGCAAGGTCACTTTCTGGTTTGTCCATTGTAATCTGAAATTGAAGAGCAAATGGGAGTTTTAAGTTGCAATATCCACAGGCCATAAACCATTCTATTACATGACAGATGTCATTTGAAACCAAAGTTATTCCACAGCTGTCCTCTGAAAGGCAGTTCAGTTTTGGTGCTCAGGAACACAGTTGTGTTCTTAATTTGCTGCCATTGTTCCCCATAAGAAAAAAGGCAACTGAGTAGTTCTGTGTTACACTAAGAAATGCAGACAAAATGAAGATAGCAGGTCCAGAGTTTTTGAATGGTTATTGTTCTACAGTCTTTTGAGAACATGTAATAATAAAAAAGAGAAGAAAAAATGTTTGCTAAAGATGGACAAAACAGTCTCAAATTGGTAAGATTTTCATTAACTCTCTAGATAGGACCTACTCGCCCTTCAAATGTGGCACCATAATAAAGTGTACAAAAACAGCATTCTTTCAACTGCGCAAGACAAAGCAAACACCTAACAAGTACTATGACAGCATAAGAAAACAACAGTTCAGTGTTATGAAGAAACATAACTTATATAGACTTTGAAGAATCTTGTTTGCTGATGAGAACTTCAAGAAGCCGAAGTTTGGCCTTAACTTTCTTGTACTCTCTGTACTCATCAAGCATGGGAGCACGATCTTCTTTCTGAACATTCCTGTAAAAAAAGATGGCAATATTAAGAAAATTCTGGCCAATTTAAAACTGGTTCAAACCAATTCAGGATGAATCTAGGGCAGTGGTTTTTCATGCTGTATCAATGATCTCATAAGGTAGTGCAGTCTGCACCACATCCTGTTGTCCTTCAATCATTTTTGTTTGCCCTTCTCAGCTTCTTGAAACAAAAGCATGCAATTCAAATTCCACAACAGTAGCTGTATTACTTAAGTCTGTTTCAGCCAAAACAGTGAAGTGTCTAATATCACCTGAAGAACAAATTTACTGCAGCATCAATTCTCATGAATTGGGCTCTGGATGATGATGGTTTATGCTGTAGTCTTCAAGATGTGACATGACACTGTTTAATCTCATTAAAGTAGTACAAACTGTCCCTCTCTTTGGCTATTCGCCAGTGCATTACAGAAAATAAACAAAATAGGCCAAGAGAAAAAACTGGAATTAAAACACAACTGGAAGCACTGATTAGGGTGATCTTAGCAGCCAATTTTTCTACCAGGATTTTAAGAATGTGAAAACTGCCTTGCTGTATTTTCAATGGTGGCCAGACAGGTGCCTCAAGTAGTTCACAAACATGTCACAAAGGCAGTGAACTAAGCTAAGTTAGTGTGAGCTAGCTCACACTTTTTTAACCTCTGGCTCATACATTTTTGTCTTAGCTCAGGAAGGACGGCTCCAGAGCAAACTCTCTCTGCAGTGGCAAAAAGAGAACTGAGGGAGTAGCGCCCCTCCTAGTCATGGGATCGTTTGGGTGGGAAAACGTCAGAAGGAGATGAGGTGATCCTAGTCTATTAGAAAGCTTTGGAAATCTTTTCCATGGCTGGCCTGGGACAGCACAGAAGTCATGAAGATGGAACATACAAGCCTGCTGTGATTCCTTGCAATGCATTCTGCAAATAAAATTGCTTGCATCCACCATGACTCAGGTAACACTTGAGATGTTATTAGAGCACAGTCTGGTCCTAATTGTATGATGACTTTCAGTTAATGAGGCCTCATGAAGTGGACAGGGTGCTTCAAAATGAGCAGCCCACCACGTCGATTCTTGCCCCTCATGACTAATAGTATCAAGCTGTGCTGGGGTGGTTGACTGGATCCAAAAGGTAATAAATGCCTCTCTGTGGAAGGGCACTGTTCCAACCCCTTTGGAAAAGGTGGTTGTGTGACCTTGCCTGAAGAAGAGCAACTACTGCCTGGTGGCTAATATTCCATTATTGGACAAGATGCTCAAATGGGTAGTGGCTACATAGCTTCAGGCAGTCTAGGAAGAGACTGATTATCTAGACCCACTTCGGTCTGGATTCAGGCCTGGCTTTGGGATGGAATCAGCCTTGGTCACCCTGACTGATTACTTTTTCTGAAAAAGTTACAGGGGAGAACATCCCTGTTGACTCTACTGGACCTTTCAGTGGTTTTCAAAACCATTGACTACGGTGTTCTTCTGGAGAGGCTGGCTGGAACAGGGGTAGGGTGCATAGTGAATTGAGGGTTCCACTTTTACTCAACCCACCAATTTCAGAATATGTTGCTGAAGGACTCCTGCTTGGCTTTGTGGCATTTATGTTATGAGGTCCCACAGGGTTCCATCACCCCACATGCTATTTTACATTTACATGAAACTGCTGGGAGAGGTAATCTGGGAATCTACAGTGAGGTACCACCAATATGCAGATGACAGCTCTATTTTTCCTTAACAGCTAAGCCAGGTAGGTCTGTGGAAGTCCTGAATGGAGAAGGTAGTGGGATGGATGAAGGCCAATAAACTGAAGCTCAATCCAAATGAGAATGAGATGCTGTTGGTCACTGAAGAAGCTGCTCAGGGACTGTGAAGTCAGCCTGTCCTGGAAAAGGCTGTACACCTGCTGAAGCAGCAAGTTCACAGCTTGGGGAGACTACTGGACGGAGGCTCAAGTCTCCTTCGTGACACATAGGAACATAATTTTATTACGACTGCAGATCACCCAGCAATAACATAATCAACAGTGTCAGCAACAGATAAAATATGTACATACAGTAAAAACAAATTCATAGCTTTGCTATACAATAATTTTTGAAGCCTGCATGATAAAAAAGATTTAACCAGGTGCTTCTTTATTAAACAAGCCAAAGCACAGAATTTAACCTATGGCACCTTTTATCAGCTACAGCCATTTCTTGAAAAGCATGATCTGGCACAGTAAACCATGCTCTGATCGCTTCCAAGCTACATTACTGTAATGCACTCTATGTGGGGCTGACTTCGAAAACAGTTCAGAAACTTCAAGTGGTCCAAAATGCAGTGGCCAGGCTACTATCAGGTTGGTTACAACGATCAAATCACCCCTATGTTGAAAGATCTGCACTAGTTACCCATCTGTTTCTGGCCACAATTCAAAGTTCTGCTTCTTACCTTTAAGGTGCTAAACCAGGGGTACCCAACCTTTTTTAAGCCTGTGGGCACCTTTGGAATTCTGACACGGGGGGTGGTAGTGGGTATGACCACAAAAACAGGTTGCTTGCCTGTAACTGGTGATCTTCAAGTGGTCATCTGTGCATTCACACCCATGGGATACAGTGCACCTGCGCTGGATCGATCGGCATTGTAGCAAGGAACCCCATCTAGTCCAACACTCTGTCACACAGTGACCCAAAATACCAGGTGCCATCAGGAGGTCCACCAGTGGTGCCAGGGCACTAGAAGCCCTCCCACTGTCCCCCCCCCAGCACCAAGAACCTGTAGCCTGCCACCCCAAGCACTTGCCCCAGACCAAGAGTTCCTAACTATACCTTGCGGCTAATAGCCACTGATGGACCTCTGCTCCAATATTTATCCAATTCCCTCTGGAAGCTGTTCATGCTTGTAGCCGCCGCCCCCTCCTGTGGCAGTGAATTCCACGTGTTAATCACTCTTTGGGTGAAGAAGTACTTCCTTTTATCCCTTCTAACCCAACTGCTCAGCAATTTCATTGAGTGCCCATGAGTTCTTGTATTGTGAGAAAGGGAGAAAAGTACTTCTTTCTCTACCTGCTCTATCCCATGCATAATCTTGTAAACTTTGATCATGTCACCCCTCAGTCGTCGTTTCTCCAAGCTAAAGAGAAAGTGTTCCAACCCTTATATCATTCTAGTTGCCCTTTTCTGCACATTTTCCAATGCTATATTTTTTTAGGTGTGGTGACCAGAATTGTACAAAGTATTCCAAATGTGGTCGCACCATCAACTTATACAGGGACATTATGATACTGGCTGATTTATTTTATTTTCCTTTCCTAATAATCCCCAGCATAGTGTTGGATTTTTTAATTTATTTTTATTGCGGTCGCAAACTGTCTCAACATTTTCAGTGAGTTATCTATTACGACTCCAAGATCGTAGTCTCTGCCAGTTCGGACCTGCACAGCAAATCACATCTCCAATTGCCAATCAGAAGCCCTGCTGGGCAAAGACCCCATTTGGCCCCATCCACTTTCTAACAACACTTGGTGGATGCCAGGAACTATATCCGTGAGCACCATCGTACCCCACCACATTGGGGGCCCCTGACTTAAACAACTTGGGGGCAGGGTACCTGAAGGAAAATCTCCTCCAATACTATCCAGCCTGCCAGTTAAGACCTGCCTCTCAAGCCCTGCTATCTGTGCCCCCATCTTCAGAGCTGAGGTGGGTGGTGATTAGAGACAGGGCATTTTCTGCGGTGGCACCTCACCTTCACAACTTTTGCACACCTGGTTGGGGGGGGGTTCTTAAGCACAGCTGTAGCAACATATTTTCAAGTCTAAAGGGAAAAGCACTACTGAGGTCTCTTGGGGCTACTGTCCCTTTAAGTTTTGTTCCTTCTATCTTATTCCCAACTTCCTACCCTGTTCAGCCACTATAATTATCAGGTTTTTTTTGGGGGGGGGGGAATTTAAACATTGTGCTCTTTTTAGTCAAATGGTTAGCTTATTTTCTCTCTTATTTCCTTTATCAAAATTAAGTAATTATAAAATTGTGGTATGGCTGCGCAGAATCATTTTTTCTAGTGTTTTTTCCAGGCCTACTTATTAGAAGCCAATGATCGCCTTAATGTGAAAGACCATCATCCACAAAGTTGCACTGTTCACTGAAAGAATTAAAATATAGTTACTTGCCATAGAGATTCTATGATCAAAGTTATTTCTCTCTCCTCTCCAACAATTTCAACATCTTATGGCACATGCATTAAACTTCTTTTTGGGCAAGCATCGTGTTCTATTAAGTCACCATCTACATTGCAGCCTCTTGCACACACAGAAATACATTTTTGCATGGAGAGGACTTCTGTACCACAGTCCAGTAAGAGTTTTCCACTGGGTTTTAATGTTGGTTACATTTTATCTGTTCTGCAGATTTTAGTTGGCCATTGCACATTTAAAACTAGAGATCCAGTGGCACCTTAAAAATTAATAACATTTAATATAAATTGAGCTCACTTCTTCAGATATCCAAAAGAGAATCATACTGGGAATCCTACTTAAGGGAAAGATTACAAAGTGGGGTGAGGATTAAGGGCAGAGAGTGAATTCTACCACAAATCTTTCAGCTATAGATACTGTGGGGAGGGGGGAAATAAGAGGTAATAAGCTTAGGTGTGAATCCCATCATAAATCATTCAAGTGTGAACCTCTGTGTGTCTGGAGCAGAATTAGCAGTTACAAGTATTAATTTTATTTTGCTACAATAAACTAGTATTGGCTATCCCTCTGCAATATTTTATATCTGAATTTTAGTTATTTTAGGGGATTTTTAGGCTGTGTTTCAAATGTTTCTACTATGGCATATTTTATAGAATGACTAAAATCAACCACATACGTTCAATTAAACATTGCAGCTATGCTATTAAACATTATGCTAAAAGAAGGTGGGAGAGGATTGCAAATTCACTCCTGCCAGAGCCCAGGAAGAATAGAACAACTTTTACCTGATTCCTAAAATTCAAGAGAGACAGCATTATGGAAACAGAAACAAAAGGAACACGCCTTAAAAAGATGTCACAAAAGATGCCCCTAATAGCCCACTCAACCTCCTTTTAGAAAGTGAGAGGACAGCAGTGGGCAGAGTCATACTTCAGGTCTCCTGTGATCCCTTACAGGGCTTTAGAGGCAAGAACCTGCACTTTGTATTGCATCCAAAAACAAACTGGAAACTAGTGAAATTCTTCCATAACTGGTGGGATATACTAGTTGTCAGCCAAGTGAAATTTCCCAACTATGTTCAAAGGCAGGCCTATATAAAAGCACACTTGTGTGTTTTTTTTTCATCTCATTGTTTCCATTAGCAACAATAATGCAGTCTTACAATCACTGAATGTTAAACTAACCTTCCATTTTGCTGATAAAATCCCTCTTCAAATTCCCGTAGTGTTTTCCGCAATTTCTTTTTCTCAGCTCTGGCTTTCCAAAGTTGCTCCAATAATTCAGGCCTAAAAATTCATTGTAAAAATGTACATCAAGTCATCAACATTGTGACAGATATTCCATCCACTACAAAAACAATGAATTAGATGACAAGCAATGTTTGCTAAGAAGTTGCTTCATTTCTTAACAGTCATCTCAGTGCAAAAAGGGCTGAACCATTCTCTTGCCAATGAGATAGAAAACAGCTAAAAAAGTAAAGCAATTTAGCTGAACTGCTAAACCACAATGTCATTTCAGACAAAAATCCTCCCTTCACTTTTCCAACTCACTCCCATAAACAACCACAAATCTTTGTTGAAAAAATATCATATATTTTGATCAGTCTATTACATCAGTTGCTTTATACTCTAATTGGCTTACATGGAAGCTGCACGGGTACTAGACAGACGAAGCTCTCGAGTCAATTTCTCTTGACTTTCTTCAGCATCAGATTCTGAGTTTTCAACTGGGCTAGCAATCTGTATTTGGGCACTAGATTTCAGGAGATCAGTCAGTTCTGATGACAGATCACCATCTTCTTCCTCTTCCTGCAAGATAATGCAAAAGGAGTTAAAGCCAAGTGTTATGCATTTTATCATCTAGCCAGAGTCCCAATATGCACAATAGTTCTGCACATGCATTAAGTTTTTGCTTTTATTAAGGAACAGTGGGGCATTACCGTGAAGCCTGCTGCAGTGAAACTCAAGAACTCATGCACTATTGGATTAGAACTACTGTCATCTACAGATGAAAATAATACCAAAAAATACCTTAATTTCCTCAAAAAAATGGGCTGTTTCTCCTTCTATGATAGGTTGTAACATTTGGCTGCGTCTCTTGGTTGATGGTGAGCCCTGAAATATAAATAAATTATTAAGATATAGAAATTATATTTCTTTTCATTTTGTGCAAATTATTTTTAGAGCATACACACAGTTTAATTCTATGGGCCTTTCCATGCTAGCAAAAACAGCACCAGAAAACCCTAGGGTTGCCACACTCCCAATGGAGGTGGGGGTTCTGCTGCTGGCCGGCCAGCCAGTGGGGGAGCGCCACCCTCAAAGAGCCCCAATGTGCCCATCGTGGTGACATCACCTGGAGGTGACGTTTTCACATGGAGGGCACTCTAGCATTTGGCTAAAAGCTCTATGGAGAATATAGAGTTTTTGGCCAAATGCTAGAGCATTCACTGTACCATGTGCCTGATGCGATGATGTCACTTCTGGGACATCACTTCCAGGCCAGAAGATCCAGGAAACCCGGGCCGGAGGCCCCCACTGGAAGCCAGGTAAGAGCTGACAACCCTATGAATCCCCTAAGATTTACCTTTAGGCTTTTAATACCAGCAAAACTGAAACCACTAAATCTAACACGGCACCAACATCCTAATTATTGCAAACAGGTTGAAGTTCTTGTTCAAGTTTTAAAGTACAAAATGTCTAGAAAAAGATAACTATTTTTAAAAATGAAAGTAACTTCAGAGAAGTGTCAGTGTAGCATATTTGAATGAGCAAGGCAACAGGCTCTTGACCATGGCTGAAAAACCCTGTAAGAACTCTCAAGATAAGAGCTGGAGTTAACAGTCATCAATTATCCCAAACCAGGGAACCATGTAACAGTGGATTAAGAATAAAAATAGGCTAGTTGCAAATGTCTCCAGAAGGGAAACATTATCTTTTTTTGCTAACTTAACACTGAATATTTGGCAAACATGAAACACAGACTCTCTTTACTCACAAGGATGGGAGTGATGCTTGCTCGAGTCAGCATTTGTTTCACAAGCCTGTATCTGTCATAGAGGGGTTTAACAACATGCCTTTCTTCTCTGGAAACCTGAATGAAGAAAAGATACTCAACATGTGACTACAGGAAAAATCAAGCTTTAGAGTGGATTCAGTGCCCTTAAATGGTTCTTCCCACTCTTTTTTTTCTTTTTTAGTAAACTTGGCATTGTAACTCACAGGATGCGAGCCTTAAACATATGATTGGGTGTGTCCAGTTGTTTAGTTTTTCTGAATAAATTCTGTATTTGAATGTGCATTAATTTGAAGGGATGTTTATAAACGTTTAAACTATCTGCCCGTCTCTTGGAGGCTAAGTGATGGTCAATGAAAACAGACCCTCTGCGTCTTTACTACAGCTAACATACTTGTATTACAACACAGGAAAGATAAATGCCCACCCCCTATCGATTAATGGATAGAGGACTTATAAATTTATCAGTATTTGAATGCACAACATATAAATGACAACTGTGTATGGGAACTATTTTTAGATATTTAGAAATCTTTTATAGAAACTTATGTGTGGATGTGCACCACTATTATATTTTTACAAGAGGGGGACCCGCGATACTCGCGGGGGGGGAGAGAAGAGCCCCGTCTCCTCCATCCCCCCCATCTCCCCGAGGCGGCGGGGGGCGGCGGCAGCGGCGAGGCCGGTGTTCGCCCCCCCTGAGGCCGGTCTTCCCCCCTGCCCGCCCCCCCGCCCTGCCTGCCGGCTCCGGGGGGGGGGG